TCCTCACAAGTTCGTGTGAGATTATCTGAGTCTCCCATTCAAGAACGTATAAAGTTGAGACAACGCTGAATTCAGGTATTCACAAAGATTTTATAAATTGACGTCTATTGTCATTGGTTAGCTGTAGCGCATTGCTTGGTCTTTCGTATTGGTAAACGATTCACCGTACATGGCTGGTTGAAGAACCAAATAACTCGTATCGAACACATATGCAGCGTCTAGATGAGTTCATAAATAGTGCTAACGACTATATAAACAAGTCAAGTAACAAATGCCACATTCCTTAACTTATGGATATTTCTTTTAGAGAAAGTGAATTTTGGCGCCAACTACTTAAATTAATTGATGATGCCAATTATGTCATGCATTTATATGTAAAAACATACATTGTACCTTTTCTTATCAAACTGTTTAATTAGCAAACTGATTAATCGCACCATGAATTTGCATGCAATTATTCCCACAGTTATTCGCGTTTTTCTGGAGTGTCACGAAAACTCAGACTCCGAAAAGTCAGACCTCAGACCGCGAAAACTCAGACCCCTCGAAATTAAAAAAAAGAAAAATTAACCCTTCACAATTCTTATCACCTAAATGTTTTATGGTCACGCAATTTTCATATAGAGGCGACAGCCAGAAATAAGCGAGACAAATATCTTCTCCGATTTATCGCTGTCGCATCGATCAAACAATGTTTCGTGACACCCCGTTTTTCTAATGTACTAGCTATGACTTTATTTACAAATGAGTGAATGTCAAACTTAACTCACGGACAGCAGAATGGCAAAGCTACTTATAATTGAGAAATATCACTGAGGCATGTAAACAATGCGTTTTTTAGAATAACCCGCCAAATATATGAAACGTCTCGCAACTGACTTTGTCGAACACAAAGAGTCTAATCAGTTCAGTCAGACTTGTAATGTTTGGACCGCTGGCAAACGTTAGGGTTTGATGAATGTTTAGACGTGCTCATGACACGTTAAGAACGTACTAAGCTGCAAACTGTTAAGTTCAGTCGAACTTCTTTCATGAACTGACTCTAAACTCAACGATGCGCACAATGTAGGGTTGATTTGCTAATGTATACAGCTGGGAATACAATACTGATACAATACTAGGGTATCTAAAAGATAGTAATGCTGCGGCACATTCTGTTGATGTCGACATTAGTTAGTCTTTGATCCATCTGCTTGCGTGTTAATGGTCCTTTATTTCTGAAAGTTAAGTCACAAATTGTGTAGTGTTTCTAAAACTAAGATCACACTCCTACTCCCTAGGGAAAAACAAATTTACATATGTGGAAGTATGAAGGTGAATTATAATCGTAGTAGGTCCAAGTTGTCAAATGTTATTCAGTGTGAACATTTGATCTGTTTAGGCAGTGTTATTTTCATATAGGTGTATCGGATGAAGCCTTGTTTTTAGGGGGGTGGGGTATTATTATTGCCAATCATCCTTTGCAGTGGCATGCTTTGGTTTAACATAAGTTATACCAAATATTGATGTCTTTTAGAATGATCTTACTTTACCTGTGAAATAGGTAGTAGAATATTGCGTGCTATTATTCCATTGTGTTCTTTTGTTTACTTGTAGCTATTTTGCACTAGTTGTTATTCTCTGTTTCACAGGTCAAGTGAAATCACTCTTTTTGAAATTACAAACATAAATAGTATATCAGAAAGCAGTCTTTGGGTGTCACTTGTACCAAGAACAACAACGTATTTTAATAACAATGGTTACAAATATTTTGACAATTAGTGTGAAAAATTGGTCAAAAAGATTTTCCAAGAAATTAATGTAATACAACTTTTAAGTAAAACTCAATGGCAATGGGTTTTTGTGTGGAGTTTCCTCCTATAATTTACAAAAGTAATAATGCCTACTTGTCAATAAAACCAATAATTATTAATCAGCAGTTCCCAGGTGCTACTAGTGACAAATGTAACATGTTTTAATTGAAATGGTTACAACAATTCTGAAAATTAGAGTAAAATTTTAGGGAAAATATACTGCCAATGACGAAAATATAGGTAACAGAACTTTTGAACTAAACGAGAACGACATTGAATGATCTATTTACATGTTGGAAAGTCACTGTCAGTCTCTGCAAAGAGCATTGTTCATGATTTTACCCTGATGTGATTACTTCTTTGGCACTTTTGTCTTTGAATACAACAGTTGCTTGAACAGTAAGAATGAGCTCGGTAATGTCATCATCATTGAGGTCTGGAAATTCTTTCTTGAACTCTGCATCCTGTTCTCTTTTGATGGCATACAGTTTTTTAATAATATCATCAAATATATTTAAGGACATTGTGTCTTTGGCAGTGATTGTCAGAATACTTGCCATAACTTTATTACGACATTTGGTCTTCAGTTGTGTTAGGCCACACTCGGAGCATTTTATTATTTTCTTGTCACTGTCTATGACTTTTGAGTGACACTTGTTGCAGGTTAGATATGACTGAACATAGTTAATTCCGTGTGGTGGGAATTGCACTTGCACTTGTTGTATGTTGTCTGGAACATCATCGTGTCGAGTTATATTCAGTTTGGTGGCTTCAGTTACATTGCTGTATTTGGTCAATGTTAAATAGTTTGTGCCATTAAATTCTTTGATGGCAACATTTGATAAATTGTAACATTGGTTAGATTTCATTTTCCTTGTATCTTGTTCCCACAAGACCAGACGAAGAGAACCACTGTTATCTGTAAACATTGCTTCTTGTTTAGTTAAAGTTTTTCCACGAACATCCACAGTTTCAGCCGTGCCATTGAATAAGACACGGCCAGCAATGTTTACCAGGGTATTGTTTTGTTTCTCCTGAATTTCTTCTATTGAGCTGTCTATAGCTTCCACGGTTTCTTCTTCTATTTTCTGAAGGTCAAAATCCATCTCACTTTCGTTTGGATCTTCAATTCTTGTTCTCTTGTTGAGAATCAGTTCTTCCTTTTCGGTCTTCAGGTTTTTCTTCAGCTGGAATTTGTTTATCTTGACTGGTGATGAAGATTCGAGCTTGCGCTTGAGCACTGAATGCTTCTCTGGAGAGAAGCACACAGCACGATACACTTGAGAGTTTGTCTGGAAATTTAGCGAGAAATATTGATTCTTGTTTTGGCTTGTCTTTATAGGTGAGAGGTTATGTAAATGACCAACCATGCTTTGTCCTGAAATGGAAGCACAAAATCGTTAAGATTGAGTTATTACTGATGAGATCAAAAGAATATGAATCTTGGAAATAGATAATATTGTAGTAATCTTTTTAGTGAATTCGATAGAGATACCACAAGTTGTATCAGGTTTTGACGGATTCCATAGGGTAATTTTAGTTGCTTGAGGATTTCAATATAACATGTTCTTATGTATGTTTATTTCAAGAGAGATTATTAACCATGTTCAGGTTGACAACCAATATTAGTCAAGGTACTGCATGAAATTTAGGCTAAGACATATGATCAGATGCTGCTGAAATTCCGGTAGAAAAAATTGTGGGTATGATAAGTAGAAATGACAAGTGTATGCAATCTGCAGCAAAAAAAGTTCTGCAAGAAAAGGGAGCAACTGGTGTTACAAAACTGAGTGTACATTCACTGCCATGTAGGAATCTTTTCTGGTATGCATCAACTTCGTACATGATCCCGAACAGATGGAGATCGAGGTGTGATAAGATAAGCACATGGTGAGCTCTGAACTTATATTATGCTTGGATAGAAAATCGAAAGATCTGTAATTCTTTGAAAGAGAAAAGCGGAAATCTAAGTTACAATTTTGTCCTGGTATGCATAATAATAAGCTATAATCAGACTTTGTCCATTTCACTCCCTTCTTTTTCAAAAGTTGTCGACATAAACAAAATTGAGGAAAGCGCCTGATCTTGGAATTAAAAAGAAAATTGACTCTGCAAACTCACCTTGCATCAAATAAATACTTCCAACTTGTCTGCAAGAAAAAAACAACAACGAAAATGTAACTTAACATCTGTCCTTGTATGTATCAACTTGTGATGTGTACATATCAAGAGATCGCGACAAGATAAGCACATGGTGAACTAAACTTATGTTTGGACATGAAACGATACAGATCGCGAAAATCGAAAGCGTCCAGATTTGTAAAACTTTCACATACTGCATTAAAAACGAAAGCGGGAGTTGGAAAAGTCAAGCACGAGCTTCTTCAACTCGTAGTACACGTAAATCAAGGCAAAACATTACCACTAACCTTTCTCACTGGAATTCATGCGAAAAGACGACGGTACGACGGTATGACATCCTCGTGCTTTCCTCGCGCAATGCCGCAGAGAACTCTGGTTAAAAGTGGCGCAGTGCACTCTGGTTAAATGCAATGCATTGTGGTAAAAAGTGTGGTTAAATGCAATGCATTGTGGTAAAAAGTGATGAATTCGAGAATTCGTCGCCCCTTATATATTTCCCTTAAATCCTGATTATGTTGCTGCTCGCTCCCCACGGTCGCTCCGCAGCAACAAGTTATATTGTGTAAAGGCTTGTCCAAACGGTAAATGTTTGGCGACCAAACGTCATCAAACATTGTTTGGTAACCAAACATGCTGATGTTGAAGTGGGTGGCCAAACGGTTAAAACATGTTTGATTAAACACAGATCAAACTATGGATACAAGCAATCTCGTTCCCAGAGTCTTCGTTCCCCTCGACCAGCGGTCTGAAAACGAGAGCTCTGGGAGCAGCCATTTCAGGCATGCGCCATAGATGCAGACTGCGCAGTGAAAACCGGACGGGCGGAATCACCAGAATTCGGTTATTTCAAAATGGTTGCTCCCAGAGCTCTCGTTTTCCGACCGCTGGTCAAGGGGAACGAAAATTCTGGGAACAAGATTAGGATATAAGCCGCTGCGCAAGGGTGGGAAGCATGCGCGCGCCAAACATGCTTGATACGGCTTGTAGTTGTAAGTGTTAATAGAGGAGACTACGGGGCGAAAGGGTGGGGTAGACCCAGGAGGGACGAGCCGAGAGTAAGTTGCAACGTTTCATAAGGATACTAAAGAAAGAGTATAAAATGCTTAAGCAAGCTTCTAATTCTTCTAATCCCCAACTAGACTGTTCACAGTCCCCTATTTTTCCGTGAGATCGTAGATGTCGATCATTGAGTTCGATGGGCCGCCATCTTGGTCTCTTGATACGAGCGAAACTGGGGAGAGTACAAAATGCCCGTGGGTAGTGGCGGTGGGGTTAATAGCGTGGGGCGGAAAAAATAGTTTTACACCCTTTTCTTACAAAATTGGTCAAATTCGTATATTAGTGGACAGTGCCTTCAAAATCAACAACACTTGGAGCGGCTTTCACACCGACATCCAACAATTAACATCTATTCTTATGAAAAATTGTTTCCCGTGTAATATTATACAATGGATAGTTAATCAATACCTTTATAAGGTTCACAACACCTCAGCTGATGTATCCCGGCAGGACCATTCCAAGGGAACGACCAAACGGTTTCTCAAATTACCTTATATTGGCCCTTTTTCCCTTTTTGCGCAACGTAAAATCAAAACCATCGCTAAGAAATATTGTAAGGATTTAGACATTAGGTTAGCCTTCACTCCCTGTAAGTTAAGTAACATGTTCAGTGTGAATCGCTCGATCCCCAGTGCGCTCCGTTCCCAAGTGGTCTATAAGTTTACATGTGCAGGATGTCACTCACACCTGTTATGTCGGTGAAACCACCAGACACTTTGGCACCAGGGTTCGTGAGCAATTCCTTTATCTATAAACATCTTCAGGGTTCTAAGTCGTGTAAGAATCTATGCTCTTTTAATTGTTTTTCCACCTTAGACTCGGCTCTTATTAATTTCCAACTTAGGATAAAAGAAGCCCTTCATATTGAATGGGAAAGACTCGCGTTGAATAAACAACTCAAACATGTTAATTTACACTCCTACTTTAATTACTATTTGTATTCAGTATTTTTCACCGATTTGTACTCACACCCTTTTTTGTATCCCTCAAGTATTATGTAACTTTTTCACTGATTTGTACTACTAATCTACATTTTGTAATTTACACCTACTTGTTACCTACTTTATATAAAGTCACTCACTTGTAAACATCCTTTAACTTAAGATGGATGCTGAGTATCCGAAACATGTCTTACAAATTTAAACGGTGTGTCGTCTGTTTTAAATGTTTGATTTCAATCTCACTGCTACGAAAATTTGGCAATATTTGTAATTATAATTAGTTTCGCTGGTTATTTTCGGTTATGCAACGTTTCATATTTTCGTGTACATTTTCTCATCCGTTGTTGCGATATACTGTTCTGTATAGCCTCTTCTGTTGTTAGTTTTTTAGTTGATATTGTCATTATGTTTTAGTCGTCGTAGTCGCCACACAAATCCTGCAAGTTTCGTTATTTTCCCGTCATTTTTGCTTGCTTCATTTAGCAGTTTATTTTGGTGTCCTGCTCTGTATATTTAGCTTGTTTATGTACGTTTGTTTTCAGCGAATTGCTAGTAAAAGTGCGAATTACTTAGCTGTGTGGTTTGATTACACACCGATTTTTGTTGGAGTTATAATTAGTAGTTTTTCAGGCGTTTCAGGTTTATGGAAGAATAAGAAGTGTCGTTCAAATTTCTTCGGCTGTTCTGTTTGAATGAAAGTCTTGCGTGTTATTTTTATTTTTTTTAATACTTTCGTTTCATTCCCTAGGTCCATTGGCGCATTGTATATATTTACACCGACCGACTATGGACACTGTGAGCGGAAAAGGATGGAAAAGTCATTGGTCATTTGATAGAACCAAATTTATATTTCAAGCATTTTACTTTTTCTTTCTGTCTGCATTCGTCACGAGGCTAGTATATCTTCCTATCTATCTTAAACAGCTGGGACTCAATGCAAATTATGTGGGAATTCTTTCAGGAGTGATTCCTCTCGCACGCGGCGCAGGAGCACCAATCATAGGATACGTGGCGGACGAAACAAACTCAAGAAAACTTGCTTTTCTTGTTAGTCTGGTATCACAGACATTAGCGCCTATATTGCTACTGATACCACGACCTTCTGAACCGGAATGTCAATCAAGAGTTGCCATGGAAACGCCAAAGCATCCCTATAACAAAACATGGATGGAGAAGTCGCTCAATAAGACTAGTGATCAAGAAGATATTGGGCAAAGTCAAGAGCTGTTGCAGATTTTCCTTATTCTTTTGGTTCTCTTTATTATTACAGAATTCATTGCTGCGCCAACGAAAAGTCTTGCAGATTCATCTCTTTTAGAAAACCTCGACAGCACTGAGTCGACTAATTATGGAAGGTTTAGAATGTGGGGAAACGTTGGTCAAATCATTCTTTATTTGATGGTTTCACCTGTTGCAAAATCCAACACTGTTAGAGTTTGCGGCGTCATTCAGGATGATTATGGACTAACAATGTTCCCTTTCTCGATTGTGCTGCTGTTCGCTTTTATACTGGGTCTAATGATTGACTTCAAACAGGATGAATTAAGGGCAACAGACTCTCGCAGAACCAAGAGGGAAATACAAGAATCATCCCTAAAAGATGTCTTGTTAAACCTTCATAACATTGCATTTATCGTCATTATTCTATACCTTGGGATAGTTGACGGCATTTTTAGCAATTTCATGTTCTGGTATCTAACTGATATCGACCCATCGCAAGCCACGTGGGTTATAGGCGTGGCTGGAATAAGTCGTAACATCGCAGGCGCATTTTCATTTGGTTCCTCGGGAATCGTGATCCGAAAATTAGGAGTTCTAAACACAGTTAACTTGTCTCTTGCCTTCTATGTGGCAGGTTTCGTTATCTATGGACTGCTGACAAACCCTTGGTTAGCCATCATCCCCGAAGTTATGCAATTCTTTGCCTACGGTGTTTCCATGCCGGCTTGTATTGTGTATTTTAAAGAAAGAACATCCGAGGAATATTCAGCAACAACACAAGGTGGGTGTAAAAACAGGGAAAGAAAAAAAAGAGAAACTAAGGCCCTGTTTACAAGGAGGGAGGGTTACCCCAGCAAGCGGGTTAACCCTAGCTAGAGGGCAAAAGATAGCCCGGGTTTACAAACAAAATTTCACAGGTAGGGTAAACCTACAACCCGGGACAAGTTAAGGCGCGGTTACACTTAAATGGTCTGGAAACAATAAGAAAGTTAACCCGGGTAGGCGGGTTAACCCTACCTGGAGTTATATGGTCTCGGGTACCCGAGACAGCCGTGTCCCCGAGGTAACTTTAGCGAGCGTCTATATGTGAAAACGTAGTCCCTGTAGGCCGAGTCAAAATTAACCCTGCGTGATTATTCATAACCCATATTGAATAATCAAATGTGCAAATATCTCTCTTTCTTTGAGGTTCCCTCAGTTATTCGATCACAGTGGGTTTTGCCGAGTTAATTTTCACTTCTTTGATACGAATTTTTGCTTTAAATCCTAAATCTAGGCATTACGTGACACTCGCCACGCCGAGAGTTGTCCCAGTAAGGGGAGCCAAAGCGTTTATATGAAGAAAAGTTGTCCCGCTTGCCAGGGTTACCCTACCTGCCGGGGCGAGACAACTCGCCCACCCGAGTTGTGTCGCCCCCCGAGACGGGTTCGCGATCCTAATGTAAACGGTTGGTTGAATTTTGCAAAGAAATTAGCTAAAAGGTACCTCGGCCAGGGTACCTCGAGGGGAGGCTTGTCTCGGGTACCCGAGACCATATAAATGGGGCAAAAGTTAACCCGCCTTCCCGGGCAACCCTGGCTGCCTTGTAAACACGAAGAAGAAAAAAAGAGGAAATGTGTGAGTGCTAGGGTAACCCGCTTGCTAGAGTAACCCTCTATCCTTGTAAACAGGCCCTAAAATAAAGTGAAATATTGATATGTGGTATAAAAGGCCAAAACATTTTCTAAAATAGAAACTTTTAAAGAAACAAGGCCTCGTATATCTCATTCAACCACAG